TAAACTGAGTCAAAAAGGAGATCTGTACATTCCTGGTTAGGTTTAGCAGTGTGTTAGAGCTGGTACTAGTGACTATGCAAGTGCAAGGCATGAAGAACCATACTCAGAATGTGGATGCGGATGTGTGTGAATGCTGCTGAGTGTCTGTGTGTATGTATGTGTGTATATATATATATTTTTTTCCTAATAATGTTTTATATTTATTGATCAGTGGTTTAAAAAAAAATCTTTAAATTATGGAGATGTTTGTATTGGGGTTAGAAGTCCATAATGATAAATTCTGTGCTGCACCAAGATACCCACTCTGGGGTTGTTTATTGTGTTAATAGTCATCTCAGAGAGGCACTTCAAGACCAGCTCAGGACAGGCAGTGATATTACGACCATCATTTGAAGCCCTAAAGAAAGAATTTCCCGTATTTCTAAATGACGCATTTAAGACTTTTCTGGGCCTTGTAGGACAGCTGCTCTCCAAAGGTGATCGCCGCAGATCATGCAGCATATTTCAAACCTTTTTCTGTCACCTCTTTAGTGCTGGAACACAGAACTACTTGCACTGTGTGTGCTCATGAAAGCTCTCTTATCCTCTTTAGTGATAGGTATAGCTCTTAGCATTGGTGTCAAATGAGTCGCTCCCCCCTGAAGAAAACAAAACAGAAAAGGGAAAAGTGCAAGAAGTAAATGTTTATTTCTATCAGTGATGAGGTGGAACAGCACTTGTTTCACTTCTGCGTGTCGTGTATGAGCTTATAAGTGCACTCTTGAGAAACAATCCCTAGAATAGCAATATGTGCAATACCACTTTTTGTTCTTCTTCTTTTGTTGCAGAACTGCCTTTTTTGCAAGGGGCTGACTTTTTTCAACCAAATTGTATCGCCTGTCAAGAATTTTCATGTAACTCTTGGAAACCTGCTGCAGAGTCTTCCCTATTTGCTATTCAGTCCTGTTTTCTTCTCCCTTTAGCAGGTAAGCACATGTTTCTGCAACACTGTTTGCAACTGGAAAATATTTCCAATTTCAGACACCTGGAGGGTTCATTTTGTCGGACTCGCTAGGGTTAACGTGTCTATTCCAAAATTTCCCATAGAACTGACTGTATTTCCTGCCATAGAAAAATATCTGAATAACAGTGCAGTACTTTGGGATTTTTAACATCAGCTCATGTCAGTCTACTTCCCTCCAGCTTTAGTGCAGCTTAAAAAATGGTATGCATGGACTTTCAGCTGCGAATCTATTTACAGCTGAATCAGGTTTGTGAGCAAGCAATACAGAAAATTGCTTGAATTTCTGCTCTCTGAGAGGAGCCTCTAAATAACTTTGTGTCCTTGGGGAAAAAAAGCCCTGAAGTAGAGAGCCCGAATGGGTGATGCAAAAGCTTGGGTGTTATCTACCACGGCGACCTCGAGCTGAATGAGAGGGTTCAGATACTGTTCACCAAGATCATAGTCAGACAACCGTTGCAGAAATAGATTAAGCCGCCCCGGCTGACTGTGCACTGAAGCATATGAGGAATTCTCAAATGACCTATATATGATTGATGTATACGTGGGTGTGGCAAGAAGCGGCACCAAACAGCTGAGTGGTAGTAATATCTTACACAGCTGCAGCTATTTCTGCAGAGGTGCTTGGCACAACCCTCTAGAGTTGCTTAATATTCATTGCTAGAATTGGATCCGCGTTTAAGATTCAAGGTTTTTAGGAAGGGGGAAATTTTACAGATTTCTTGAAGACACTTTCAGTAAACGCTAGTCATTAATGGAGAGTGTGTATGGGGGTGTGTATGTGTGCATTTATGTGAAAGGAAAGTAAATGTGCTTAATCTGTCTTTGATGTTGTTCTGTTTTTTTTTTTAACATTATCATCGCATGTAGTAGCTCTTACTTTTTCAAAGCAACTTAGAAATTTTCTCAGAAAACAGTTGCCAGTTTCCTCCTCCAAAAGAATTTTCTTTCTGAACATATTAAGAGACTTATTTTCTCTTACAGATTTATTTACTTTATCACTAAGCTGCAGAATCTAACCTCTGCCATGGCTTCAACTTTTTTTTTCAGTTTTTTTTTTTTAAGCAAAGAGGTCTTTTCTAAAGGGTTCACTCTTGAAAACTTCTGTTTTGATTTACTTGGTGGTAATGCATGTTTTCTTCCCAATTTGTATCAAGCGGTAAATGATGGGAATGCCTATTCCGTGCTACTTCATTGCAGTGGTAGCTGGATTTTACTACAGTGGTTACTTGGTCTCATCTCAAGCTGCAGGGGTAAATGGTCACCTATAATCTGCAGCTCCCATCGGGGCCTTGCATCATAATCCAATTCAAGGCTGTGACCTACAGCAGAATTGAGCTTGGTCTTCAAACGGGACACAGATGTTTAAAAGTGGGAGGTAATCATTTTCACTTGCGCTGCACTTTTTTCCCCCCGAGGATTTCCAGGGTGTTGTTACCTGCTGCCAGTCTGGATTCCCTGAGAAGTGAGTTAGCCGTGCCGGTAGCAGAGGGGGGGTATTTGACAGCTATGCATTGTACAGTGGGAACTTGATAGTCCCAGGTCATGAAGAGTATAGTTATGGGCATCGCTTTTCTCCTTATAAGTGATTTCTCTGGAAACATTGAGGGAAGAATCTGAGTATAACTCGGTCAGGAAATCCCTGCTACCTCTGCCCATGTTATTTCAAGCATACCCAGAAAATTTCTGCTCCGGAACTTTACAACCTTCTTTAAAACAAATACCCACGTCTGCTGTTAATTAAGTTAGCAGTCTACCAACTAATCTGTTACCAAACATGAGTTCTGTCAGCAGCAACTCCAAATACTGCTGTTCAGAGGATTCAGCCATTGCCAGCAGAACTAAAAGCTGCTCTAATGTTTCACTGAAATATTTTGAAAAGTTCACTGTGAACACTCCATCTTTGTTTTGTTCATTGTTAAACTTTTTATTATTGGTATTGTAAATAACCGCCCCTCAGAGTAAACAGCCACACATGTGCATGCCTTCTGTTTTTAGCGGAGCATTTGCAAACTATCCCACTGTAAACTATTTATAGATTACTATGTAATCTGTAACTTTACTATGATGGACAGTCAGATCAGAGTTCCCACCACACGAGGAGGCGTTATTACACGTTATGCCTTGAGCAACTTACCACCACCCTGACAGAGGGTTTGCTGACTGGAAATACCAATGCCTTATGAAAAAACACTGCCTGCGTGCTGCAAACCCAGCATTTTATAACCACTTGGGTTTTTTTCATTGAAAAAGCCGTAACTTCTCACTTGCTGGCAATATAATAGACTTTAAGTGATGCTTATGGTTTTAAGTGCGTCATTGTATTAAAATTTTATATTCCGACAGTGTGCATATTTTCACAGTTACATTTATTATTTGCTCTTTTATGTGGTATGATATAATTTAAAGGTCTTAGGAGTCTGGTCCTACTGTAATGGACAATAGAAAACACGTATTGAAGGTTTCAGGCCCCCATTAGTTTACATCTGCAGGCCATGGCCGTTGTAAATGGTTGTACATAGGTTTTACTTTCTGGATGTGTAGAGTCCCGTATTATTCCATGGAAATGTCAAAGGTTTCCAATTCAGCACATACAGAAGCCTTGGCATGGCAGGGACCTAATCAGAAACAGCGAAGTAATGTGTTTGCTGGGCTCACAAGGAGGCAGAAGTCAGTAGGAGAGTGTTGAGATAATAAAGGAGGTTAGCAATGTTTACTGTCACAGCTGATAAGCACTCAACCTTTTTGTAATTAGTATTATGAGAAGTTCCTGGCAAAGTTGTAACTCTTTGTTTGCTCCCTTTTTTCTCCTCCTCCAATACAAAGAGGAGAACGGGACAGTATCTTTATTACTGTTTAATTCTCCTTGTCCACTGCTGGAGTGGGTGTTACTCTCAGCTCAGCTGTTCCCTAAAATCTCAGCTGATTGCCTAGCCAGAAAATGCTCTTAACCAGCAAATGCCATTTGCCTTTCTGTTGAGGCTGTCCCACAAAGGCTGCAAACTTCACCCTTTTCTCTCAATCCCTCAATGCCTTTGGTCAGCAGCAGACTCTCCTAGAAATACTCCTAATTTAATATCTCCCTGCTTGAAATACCAACTGAGTTTGTAAACCAAAGACATCTCCCAAAGATCTCTTCATCTAGGGTCAGAGCATGTACCTGAGGAAGTGAAACATTCGTCAGTTGGATGCCAGATTATTTACGTTTGTATCATGATCAGCCAGGCAGTAAGAGACTGGAGATGACATTCATCTCACCTAATTGTAGGTATTTATGGCTTGGAATACCATATCCATTATCTGAACTACTTACATTATTTTTTCTTTGGTGGAGAGAACAGGCACGTCCCAAGCATGACTTACCTGACGAGTTTTAAATATCCTTTGTAGGATGTGATGAAGTGCACCCTGGATGTGCCCAGTTTTCTCCAGCAACTACAAAATAAGGCCTGGATTTTCCTGTACATCTTTACTTGTAGTTGTACACATCTTGCACATCCCACTCCCGATGTCCATTACCCCATTTCCTAGTGGTGAATGAGCTTAAAACATGGAAAGGCCAAGCTAGAGTGACTGAACTTTATCACAAGAGTGTCTTAATTGCACCTTCCAGTTCTGACCTCCCAGGTCACTACGCTGCTGTCACTGCGGTCACGAGTGTCTCCCCTCTCTTCACAGCTCTCACAGAGAATTTAATCAAAAGGAAGGAATTATATCAAATGTTATTCCCAATTTTCTTCCTGTTACTTATTTACCATCTCAGTAAAATACAGACAGGAGTGAAGTGTAGATAAAAGCGTAAATACGCTATCTATTGATCTGCCTATCTAACGGTATGTAAAATAACTATCAACTATAGAACAGCTAAAGTCTTAGGTTCATTACATTTAATTTTGCTGTAAGTAAAGGAAGGTGAAAATTGTATCTTTCATTCCTCTTTTTTCCCCAACTCCACGCAAATGCAACCCAAACAACTTTCACAGAGCTGAGCAAAGGAGGACAGGTCACCTCACTGAGGTTTGAATAATCTTCCAAAAGTTAAATAATGAGGATTACCAAAATAAGGCCTTAAAAATCATATACCAGACACAAAAAATCATGATGTGGGCTTGAAAATTGGTTATTTTTTATTTCTTTAGAACTTGTGTTCACCTTTTGAAGTGAAACGGGACTGTTTCAGCACCTGATGTTGAAGACTAGATGGCATTTCTTGATAAAGTAGTAAGAAAAGTATGTAGATAAATGCAAGTGGGTCACATTTTCATTAAACCTCTTAACTAGGACTTAACAAAGTATCTAATAATTTTGGACCCCTTTGGTTTTGGTCCTCTCATAGGGAAAAAATGTTACACAGTATTAAGGATTCAGTCTTTAAAAATTAAAGCTCCTACACTTTTTTTTTAACACTACTGGGCCCCAACAGTGGTGTTGGAAAGCTTTTTGCCTTCAAAAAAAAAAAAAATGCTTCAAAACATTTGAACCAAGAAGATTTTCTGTTGAAAGCATAGGTAGGAAGCAATGCACTAAAGTAAATGAACAGTGAAAATTTCTGGTTATTCCAGCAGAATAAGTTTAGATGCGTTTACATTTCACATGACATGCTAAATTTTTGTACTAAACCCAAGGAAACCCAAATGGAGTCAATGAACCAAAAGCCTGGATTAAAAAAGCTGTTTTTCTTTATGCCAGTCTGAGTCAAAAGTTCAATTCTGGATATTCTCCTTCCTCGGAGTGTTCAAATCTGGATCCAAAAGTTTCTGTTGGAGCCAATCTCTAAAACAGATGACTAATAAAACTAACATCATGGCATGCACATATATACACGCGCATATCTCCTTTTTAACATGTGGAGTATTAGCTGAGGACCAGGATTGTTTTAGATTTATTTTATGTATAAAATGATTCAACTCTCCCTTCCCTGTCCTCCTCCCTTTTCCCAGTCTGGCCAAATCTTTGTGCTGGCTC